GGTACAAAAGTATTCAGAGCTGTGCGATACGAGCCAAGCATTTTATATATAGAGACCAAGAAAGAAAAGATGCAATATGGGAGTCGATAGCAAAAAAAAATAATTAAATTTGATTTGTGACATTCGAAAATATTGGAAAAACTTTTCTTCGAATCTTTTTAATTCAGGAAACAAATAATGAAATTCGCCATATTGCTTTCTCTTTTGATTTATAGGGTGAACCCAAAATCTTCTTTTTTTCTTAGCTTCCTTCTCTTCCTCCTCTTCTTCACACAACATGGCTAAAATAATAATTTCTTCGTCTGAACTACTCATTTTCAATACTTCTATGTTGCACGCTCTAGTAGTTGAGCCTTGACAACTGTACTTTTTTCGAAACTCTCGCTTATGTTGCTGGTCTGTGGCGGTAAAGTGTGCGATGTCATGCAGGATGCAGGTTTGTGCTGTGCTGGTCCGTACTGGTCCGTGTAGGTATAATGTGCGCGATCTTTTAGTGATCTATTAGCTCACTTAAGGAAACTTTGTATGCAATGTAGGAAAATATTATACTTCTATACTTCTTTTGAAGAGTAACAACTTTTCGTCCGTACGTGTATAAAACTACTGACTGAAAGAATATACATTTTTGTGACTTTTTGCGTAAAAAATGTCTCTTGGTAAAAATCGCTACGAGCAACCGTTCTAAAGATATTTAGAATGGAAATAGTCAATACATGTCCTATTGTCAAAAAATAAACATGTTGAGTAGATAGTTATTTGACTGAAATAATAAATTTCGGAAATTTTTATTTTTTCAAATTAATCATAAATTTAACTGCGAAAAAATGATGAGAAAACAGTTTCTGTTAAACTTTTGACGCAAAAACATTTCAAATTAATGATTTCAGCCTAATAACTATTTAGTCAACATGTTTAATTTATGTTAATGGTGATAGGCAGTGTGACAACTTGGGTTTAAGGGGTAGTTTTACTCATCAATAAAAAACTGTCTTCTATTTGGAATAAGTCTATATTTAAAACATTAAAACTAATTACATTTAATAATAGAAATGCCTCGTTAGCAGGATACATGGTTTGCTTAATATGCTAGACTACCTAAATGAACCCAGTTAAATCTATTACTTAATTAATATTTCCTTATATACAGGATGATTAAATAAAATAATATAATATAATAAATATCTACTTATACTACACCTCCTACGAAAATAAAAAAATGAGAAAAAAAAATGTTTATCCTATCTACTTACATATGTATAATACAGTTTTGTTCTATTTTTATGAACACTAACTAGTTTATTACCAATTTTAATTAGAACATTTGGCGACTTCTCCTCAATTACTGGTTAAGGGCCAGTGAAAATGGCATCTTTTTTACTTCCTGAGTTATTTCTTAATAAAATTAAATCTCCAACTTTACAAATTATTTGTAAAACTTTGATTTTTTGACAAAATGAAATTTTCTTTTTTCTTTTGAGGAATTAAATTATTTTTAGCGTCTTGATTACAAAATAACATTTTGTAATCTATATTTTAATTCTGCGGGATAATCTTCAAAATTATAAAGTGGATAAATTTTATTTGCAATGTTAGATGGCAATTTACAGATTTTTCCAAAAACCAATTCATACGGGGTATGTTTTGTCCCGGTATGTACGCAATTATTATAGGAAAAGCACCAAAATGGGAACCAAGAACTCCAAGTGTCTGAATTTTTTGAAGACTGAATACGTAAATAAGCGTTTAAATGTTTATGCGAATTTTTAAGAGAACCAATGGGCTCTTTCACTATTTTTTGGAATTAGCATAATTGAATAACGCTATTAATTCTAGAATTTTCTGCTATCTCACTTTCGAAAAATTTGAAGTCGCTCTTAAGAAAATAAATAAAAACAAAAAAGCCCAGAATAAAAATCCGCACTTTATTTTTAATACGTCACACCTAGCATGTTGAAAAGCGGCAACACAGCCGGGCCACCATGCTGACCCTCCACCGCCTCCACACAAGGCCATTCAACCTTTTCCAATATGGCGGAGATAGAAGTGCTTTATTTGGCGCGAATTTTAAAACCTGTTTTATTTCCAAATAGACATTTTTCACACAAATGTCGGGTTAGATTACGTAATATTTCACTATTTTTTTAATATACAGGGAGTATCATCATATATATACCACTATACAGAGAAGACCAGGCTACTAGTAACATAGCAAGTTGCCGGACGAATTTGCGTGCGTTCGTGCTTGAGATTCACTGCCGGCTAGTCGGCTGGTCAGGCAGTACGCAGTTGCAGTTGTGCTTGGACGGGTCAGTCGTGACAGACTAGGAATACGACGCGAGGAGTGCCGAGTATTTATTATTTTCATTTTAAGTGTTTACCTTCACTTAAGGTAACATTTAAAATAAAAATACTTAAATATTTATTATTTGAGTGTGTTTACAAGCCAAACCTAAAAATAAATAAATTCTCTTAGCCCAAAACTCATTTCCAAAATTAAAAAATACATCAATAAAATAAAAAAAAAATAAAATATTACTCTAAATAAAAAAAAGTTATAACAAGTGTTCAAAAAGACCACCTTTTCTTGTGCTAAACAGAAGCCTAGGCGGTCGTAAAATCCCTGTCTGACATTGGCTAACATATTAGGGCTAATAGTTTGGAAAGCCTCTCGTATTTTTACTTGAAGCTCACCCAGATTATTAGCCCTATTATAACCATACACTTTGGATTTTACATAACCCCACAAAAATAAATAATTGGAAGAAAGATCTGGTGATCTAGCGGGCCACAAAATAGTTCCATGTCCACTAATTAAACGGTTTGAGTAAAACGGTAAAGACCTATTTTGGAAATACCATTTTACAATTTGAATTTTCTCACGAACTTCGTAAACATCCATTATTTTACTTAAAAATAAATTTTACACGAGAACTGTCTAATTAAAACACGAATAAATACAAATTCTGAAACATTCTTAGCTTTTTTCGTTTTCCTGTTATTACCGATTCTGAACCGTCCTAAAACTCTGCAGCGCATGCGCCAATGAAATAATGTCTTCATATTTCCTTCTACGCATACGCATCACAGTTCTAGGACGGTTCAGAATCGGTAATAACAGGAAAACGAAAAAAGCTCTTATCACATATCTACCTATTTTTATTTTATCGCATTTTTTTGCCTGCTTTTTATCCGCCGGACGGGTATACGCTAATTCGTCCGGTTTTGCCTATGTTACTACTACGATGGTCCGGTCTGTATATATCTCTCCACATAAGTATGGAATTTTTTGTATTATTACTTTTATGAAAACATCAGTTAGTTACTTTTTGTAAAAAGGTCTGCTTTCTCAGAAAATAGGTAGGTAGTGTTAAAATATTCAAACTTGAGGTAGCATATATAGGGTGTTCAAAATCATCGGAAAAAGAAAAAACCAGAAATATATGAGCGCTGGTTTCCGCACAATATGTCATCACTGGTCGTATGAAGGTTTTGTATATTCTTGAACACTTGGCATTCTGTCCTCAAATGTTTGTTTTTCCATATGAGATATTTAAGATGTCCTGATATTACGGCAGCTTTATTGGCTTGTTTCCTTACTTCTTCTTTCAGGAATCCTGAGCTTGTAATTTTGCATCCTAGGTTTTCGAATGACATTATCTGGTCAATAGTTTTGTTTTTTTATTACCACCTCCCAAAATCGTAGAGGTTCCTTTGTAATGGTCATGTATTTGGTCTTATTTGTGGAAATTTGCATGTTAAGTTTTTCTGCCTGTCTGTTAAAAGCTTGGAGCATTCTTTGGAGGTCGTCATCTGACTCTGCAATAAGTACTGCGTCATCGGTATAGCATAATATGTTTACTTATGCATTCCCATTCGATATCCTAATCCAGAATTCTTGACGGTTTGTATTACTTGATCCATGATTATGTTGAATAACAGAGAGCTGAGACTGTCGCCTTGGCAAATACAAGTTGTAGTTCGAAGATGCTGCGTTAAGGTAAAGCTTGTTCTTATTTGGGTTGTTGTGTTTGTGTTTAAGTCCTTGATAAGTTCTGTGAGTTCTTTCGAGACATTACTGCTTTCCAAGATGGTGATGATGTCTTTTAGTTACTCTATCAAAGGCCTTTGTTAAATCTATAAAAACATAGATAGGCTGGAAAGTTATATTCTAAGGATTTTTCAACTAGTTGCCTGAGGATGAATAGTGCATCGGTAGTTGATCGGTTTCTTCGAAATCCTTGTTGTTCCTCGCTTATTGGCACTATTGAGGAGATTTTGTCCGCAATGATCTTAGTCAGAAGTTTTAGCGAGGTGCTCAGTAATGTTATTCCTCTATAGTTTGTTGGGTCTGTTTTATCTCCTTTTTTAAAAATGGGTATTGTTATACTTTTGTTTCCATTCTTCTGGTATTTTCATATGTTGTAATATATAATGTTAAACAGTTTGTGTATTCCTCTATGATAGCCGTGCCTGCGTTTTTTTTAGCGCGTTTGGTATTTTATCTTGATTAGAAGATTTCATTTTAGCTTCCTTTATTGTCTCTTCTTCTACTTACTTGTAAGTGATTTGCGCATGATCTCCTATATTATCTCTTTGGCTTGTCTCTTGTGCTTCCATTGGTTCATCTGTTTCTGCGTATAAATCTCTGAAATATTTTTCCCACGTATCTTCTGCAATTGTTCTTAGTTGTATTGTTTCATTTGTTTCTCGTTTCCAACCCCTCAACATCTTCCAAACATTGCTTTGTGCCCGTACATATTCGCCTCCCATTTCACAATACTAAATCAAATGCTGCCTGAATATTCTTCTTTACCCCTCGTACCTCTATTATTAGTCCTGGTTCCTTATTTCGGTATAGATATTTCGGTTCTCCGGTGTTGGAAATTTCTTGTATTGTAAGTATTTTTCCTTCTTTTTCCTTGTAATGTTCTTTTTGACTTAAAGTAAACTAAGGTTGTCTGGTTTTATTGTGTGATACAGTACGTGTCCCTAAAGCTTCTTTAGCACCTTTTGTGATGTTTTCTTTTCAGTTTGTTCCAAGCTGTCTTAGGAGTATCAAACTGTGCTATGGGGTTAAGAGTGACATGTGTTTGGCATCTGTTTGAATAAAGTTGTTTAGTGCTTTCGTGGTTGAGGGATTCTATATTGAATTTTTTCTGCTTTATTTCATATTCTTTGGATAGCGGCGCACCTATTCGTATCTTTCCCAGCACAAGTTTGTGATCTGTTCCAATGTTGGCTGAGGATAAGACTCTTATGTCTATTATTTGTTGAGGTAAGAAACTTCGATTTGTGATGATATAATCTTTGATCTTTCTATTGCCATAGAAGGTGTATTTGTGTTGTTCTTTATGGGGAAAATATGTGTTTATTCTCAGTTCGTTCTGTCCACAGAATTCGGTCAAAATTTCGCCATTTCTATTAGTTATATTCTCGTTATATTTTTGTTTTATTCCATCCACTACCTCGTTTCCAATTCTTGCGTTTAAATCCCCTAACAGAATTATCTTTTTATGTCTTGGTATTTTGTCTATCGCTGACTGTAGATTTTCGTAGAAGTCGATTGACATTTCTTCAGGTTTATTAATGTCGGGTGCGTACACTAATATAATGTGAATGGGTTGGTCAAACATAATCTTTACTCTCAGGATTCTGTCGCACACGTATTCTATGCTTTCTATATTCTGTTCATATTTATCATTTATAGATACTCCAACGCCTGATGTTGCTCTTTGGTCTTTTGGTACGCCTGAGTATATTGAAATGTAGCTATTTAGTTTTGTTGTTCCTTTACCTTTCTTTTTGGTTTCGGAAAGTGCACATATGTCTATTTTATGTTCGTTGAGTTCGGGAATTAGTTCATGGTCTTTCGAATAAAGTGTTTTTATATTCCAGCATGCAATTCTTATTTGTTGCTTCTTCATATAAAGTTTGTTCCTTGTCCTTTTTCGCGCGTGAGTCGTTATCTGTGAAATCAATCCTGGTACCAAACCTCACTAGGGTAACAAAGGTTTTGGCCTTTTTGAGGCATATTTAATGCACTTCTTACCCGAGACTAGTAGGAGTGAAATTATCTCTTTTAATAGCTGTCAAACATTTTTTACGAAGCTCGTCATTTTTGGGGAATATAAAAGCAGAAACCTTGGGACCCCCTCTATAATTCTCGTGAGAATTTGGAACAGAGCATGCGAAAGGTATGCTACAATAAAATGTTACTACCTACCCTTTAATACCTATCTTTTGATTATTGTAAGTAACCATTATAAAGCACTATGCAGACTGGCGGTGAAGGCTTTTACTCATTTAGGGCGTACACATCTTGATAAATACTACTAGTTCTTACCTTTAAAATAATAATAATAGAGGAGTAATGACAAGCACAAAAGTTTGAAGTTCCCTATGTGGAATGTCTGGTTTGGATTTTTATTGCACTGTTATTTTATCACAATTTTCAGATCACACCATGCACTGAACACTAGGAACTAAACAAACGTGTTGCAGAAGCACAACAAACTAGAGATAATTAATTATTTCTGGTATGCAATCGGAACGAGAAACCACTACCGGCTTTTCAGGTTAAAGGTAAACAATTTAATAATGCCTTCGCCGCCATATTTGCCTTGCCCATATCATGTTGATTGGCCTTGAGTTAAGGTGGTGCTGGTCAAATCAAATCGCAGTGTTGCCATTTGTTGGCTGGCGCACGAGCACGGTTCTGCATATGTGATTGGGCGTATTTTTCATACATCAATTGGCACTTTAAAATTATTTCAAATTAAAGCTAATTGAGGGCTCATAAAAAAATCATTCAATGTCATGGAACTATTTTTTTTTGGATAACTATACTGAAAATAGTCTTCTATTTCAGATTTTGTCCTTGAATTGGGTATTTTATTTTTTGTGAAAGAGCCCATTGTTCCATGATGGTATGCTGTCGACGACAACTGGTTTATCTTTAAAAGTTTGCATACTTCTTTTAAAGTCGAACTTAAAAATTCAGTACCTTGATCTGAAATTATGCTATTTGGAATTCCCTAACGTAATACAAAATTATTTACAAAAACTTATCGCTAAAGTGGTAGATTCTTTATTTTTATAGGGTAACATTCAACAAACTTTGAAAGTCCGCATTTTAAGATATATATATATATATATATATATATATATATATATATATATATATATATATATATATATATATATATATATATATATATGAAAGAGTTGTTATATACATATATATGCTATATAGATATATATAGTTATATATATATAAGGCATAAGTCACAGAAATTGGCAGTTATATATATATATATATATATATATGCCTCGATGTCTTTATCTAAAGGACCTACTAGAGCTAAAATAAATATTTTGAAATGCTGAAGAGGCAGTTGTTGTGATTGATATCGGGAGTTGGTGTTCCACTAAGAATAGCTCGATCTCGGCTGTATCTCGAAAAATATTAGAGATATTAATAAAAAAATATTTATAACTAAAGGGCTATGAGAAATTGCTGGAAATTATTTTCAAGTTTATAAAACGGCCGCTAGGTATGAATGTTATTGAAAATAACAAAATAGATTTATTAGAATTTTGCCTAGATAATGGGTACTATAAATACTAGCTTCATAATCTTCAGTATTTTTTTTTTTTTATTTTATTTTCTCTTCTATTTTTTGCTTTGAGTAAAATTTTATTCATCTTTGTTTAAATGTTATCAACTCCGGACTGATGATCGTAATGACAGCTTAAGAGCGATTCTACTGTATTTTACCATAGCGCACAATAAGTCTCCGGAATCTAGGGGGCGCTTTCTACACTTGTCAAATATAGTTGTTTTTTTTCTAAAAAAAAAATATTACATGTGTTATTTTAGCCAGTAGTAAAGAGGTAAAAGCTTAAAAAGTCAGCGAAAACCGCGCATCTTGATATCTTCTTTCAACCGAAGATATTAGCAAAAATTATAATAATTGCTTTTAAAAAAATAAGCCCTTAATTACTATATTGTTACGTTTTTTCGTCGGTTCCGTGTGGATAGGAAGTCACAATTTATTTAAACACAATTTATTTAACACTAATTAACAAAACAATAACGATAAAAAGACTTAAAGAACTATTATTTACAAACGATTTACAACCTATTTATCTAGAAAGACTTTATTTTGAACTTAGCGCGTCAACTGTACTCGTCTTATTTATATCTGCCCCCTCTAGGCTACAGCCGCCGGCTTTTATAGCCACAGCTAAAGATTTCTAGAAAAGTCCATAGATCGTTAGGTGCATAGAGAAGCTTTCGAATGTTCTCGTATGTACTACCCCATTCCAGTGGGGAACTCGATTTTTCCTCGAACGTCCGAATTAATCATTACGGTGTCTATTCTTTAATGCGATGTTAAGGTCATCTGAGGGCGGGACATATAGTTAGGTTAGGTCGAGTCAACAAGGGTCCGCAAAAATATAATGTAGAAAAATTTACAATATCTAAAAAAAAATAAGAAACAGTTTTTTAAAATCGACGAAATACCAGTATACCATAACCCTATGTATTAATATCTGGTCAGTTGCGAACAAGAAACGATGGCCCAGTGAAGTCATGGTAGTGCTTTTGTTAGTTGCGTATTATAAACGTCACCAGTCGTTAGATCAACATTTTGATTAGTCCTAGCAGCGTTTTTTTTTTTTAAATGCTTTTTCAAAAATGCCTTTATTATTTGAAGGAGTTGAAGTTGTTGGCATTTTGAAAAAGCAATCAAAAGCTAAAAAAACACTGCTAAGACTATCAAAATGTTGATCTGCTAACAATTTGACGTTTATACTATTACGTCAAAAGCAACTCTTTTCCAAAGCCTACCACGACTTCACTGAATCATCGTTTCTTGTTCACTAATATTAATATCGTAATTATTAGATATTAATACATCTGGTATTATGATATTCTGGTATATCGTCAATTTTAAATAAACTAACTGTTTCTATCTTATTTTTACGTTAGAATGGGCATAATCAAGAGAGCTACTGATACCGTGTTGTAAAAAATAAGGTAATTAATGGCTTATTTTTTGGTATTTATTATAATTTTGCTAATATCTTCGGTTTGAAAGAAGATATCAAGATGCGCTGTTCGCTGACTTTTTAAGCTTTTACTACTCTTTACTATCAGCTAAAATTACATGTACTATTGCATTTAATTTTTTTGAAAAAACGCGCAATGTGTGTTTAATTGTAAGACAACGCCCTCTAGCGCCTACTTTCAAAAGCATATTATTATTGTTTATATGGTACAATATAGAGTAAGAAACGCTCTTTTAAACGAGCCTTCGCTTGTTGGAATCCGATCATCCAGTCCAGAGTTATTAATATTCATCTAAAAACAGATCTAACCTTCCCCCACCACTTTATTTTGGTAGATAGGGGAAAATGGTTTCAATGTAAAAAAATATTCAAAAATTTCATCGAAGATTATGAAGCTGTTAATTATAGTACACCTTATCTAGGCAAAATTGGGTGTAAAACTCCATTTTCTTATTTTTTGTTGTGCTGCGCCCTCTAGCGGTCGTTCTACAAACTTAAAAATTTCCAGCAATTTCTCATAGCCTCTTTAGTTATAAATTTTTTTTCCGCAGCCGCTACGGCTAATACTTTCCGAGATACAACCAACAGCTATTCTAGTGGGACACCCTGTACAAGTGGGTCAAATTCGACCTTTTAAATGGAAACAATCTTTTCTATAGGAGATAGGAAAACTAATATCGGTGTCTGAGCTCAATTTTTTGTCAAAAAGCTTCATGCATGTGAAAACCGCATATCGATATCTGTTACCGTTTCTGGTTACGGGTGTTTTTCAAAAAATATGCATTTTAAACAAATCGCTGTAACTTTTGATATGGAAAATTTTGTATTTTTATGAAAACATTTCCAAAGCACCTTTTACGCAGAATTTAATAGTTTATATATATATATATATATATATATATATATATATATATATATATATATATATATATATATATATATATATATATATATATATATATATATATATATATATATATATATATATAAAGAGTATATATATATATATATATGATAAGATATTATATATATATAAGTTTTATATATATATATATATATATATAAGAGTATATATATATATATATATATATATATATATATATATATATATATATATATATATAGCAGCATATATAAAGAAAGATATATATATATATATATATATATATATATATATATATATTATTAGTTATATATATATATATACATATATATATATTTTATATCATTTTTTTATATTTTATATTTTATATATTTATATTATTTGAGTATATTTTTTTTTAAATTGATAATTTAAGAATTATCAACAGAAAATTTTATTTTTTATATGGGACACCCTGTATATTTTTAATTTATTGAAAATAATTTAAAATTACCTTTCCAAAAATATAACACATTTCATATTTTGCTCGATTCCTCTTCGAGATATAGAGCATATAAAAATTCGCCCGCTTTAAATAAGTAGGCTTTGAACTGTACCGGCTGTAGTGCAAAAAAATTCTAGCTGTAAGCATCAATTAAAACGAAAATAATTTTTGCTATGAGAGATGCAGAATTTTATAACAATTTAAATTATATTTAACCATTTTTTTATAGATGGGAAACGCATTTAGGGCCGGAGTCTGGGGATCTCCCTCATGCGAGAGGGTCTACCCACTAAAAACCCATCTGTGCTCGAAGCTCGCCAATCTCGGTACCGCCGAAGGCATTTCATCTAGATTAGAGACTTATCATACTTCTATGTTGGTCTTGTCTGTACCCAGATCTTGTCTTTTTTGTCCTTCGCCTTTTTCTTCATAATGTTCCTTAACATGCCAAAATCGCTTCGGTATTTTCATTCGATGATGTT